ATTGAACTCTCCAAGGAGCAGCTGGTGTCCACAGAGAGGAAGATCAGATGCGAGAGTTCAACAAGCTCCACCAGTTCCTGAGAGAGGAAGAGGAGTCCAGACTGGCAGCTCTGAGGGAGGAAGAGGAGCAGAGGGGGAAGACTATCAGCAGAAAGATGAAGATGATTGAGGAGCAGATCTCCTCTCTGTCAGAAAGCATCTCTGCTGTTGAAGAAGACCTGCAGAAAGACAACGTGTCGTTCCTCAGCAGTTATAAAGCCACTCAGACCAGAGCCAGAGTCCAGAGCTCACTGACAGATCCACAGCTGGTCTCAGGAGCGCTGATAGATGTGGCCAAACACCTGGGGAACCTATCCTTCAGAGTCTGGGAGAAGATGAAGGACCAGGTACACTTCAGTCCTGTCATTCTGGACCCCAACACTGCAGCCTACAGCCTCTATCTGTCTGATGATCTGACCAGTGTGAGACGTGGAGACACAAACCAGCAGCTTCCTGAGAATCCAGAGAGATTCACTGAGTATGCAGAAGTTCTGGGCTCTGAGGGCTTCAGCTCAGGGAAACACAGCTGGGAGGTGGAGGTGGGAGACCATCCTTACTGGCTTGTAGGATTGGTAAAAGAGTCAGTTGACAGGAAGGGAGAGAGAGGTGTTTCACCGAAAGATGGAGTCTGGTGTTTAGTTCATCGCAGTGGAAAATACACTAATGGAGCTGGTCAGACTGTCAGAGTGAAGAAGAGTCTCCAGAGGATCAGAGTCCAGCTGGACTACGACAGGGGGGACGTGTCCTTCTACAACCCTGAAGACACGACTCACATCTACACTCACAGAGACACTTTCACTGAGAAACTCTTCCCATGGTTTTGTCTTGGAAAGTCTGGTGACGCTAAAACTGCTGATATCAAAATCTGTCAAACTGATGTTTCTCTGTGATGTTCAGTGAAGGTGGTGAAGTCAAAGTGATTCATCAGCATGTTTATTATAGTTTTTTTGTTGTAGTATTCTATTATATTCTGTAAAATATATCTGTAAATATATTTTACAAAATATATTATATTACAAAATGAGAAATTTAAGGTTAAATGAGCAGAAGTGTGTGTGAGGGATAATGTAAATAGTGTTTTTGGTGTAAACATCCTTCAAGTACAGATGAGTAGATTCACTGTGATCATTTATTTTAACTACTTTTTTTCCAAACAGCAACAACATTAAGTTCAGGCTTTAGTTTTAAATCACGTCACCACATAAAGCCTCATCTCACCTTATTGATCTTTAACATTAAACGTGTTCTTCATTGTTTCTTTATAGTAAACTGCTCAGTTTACAAGGGCAAAGGCCACATGCACGAACAAAAGTAGGTTACTATTACTAATGCCTGCCCTCACATGACCCGCTCGGGCCTGAGCCAGAGTCCAAACAGTCGATGAGCTCGTCCAGGAAGGAGGGCGGCTTCTTCTCCTGGTCGCCCCACTGCAGACACTTCTTCTCGGCCCAGGCCGCCGAGTCGTCCGTGAACGGCCGCTCCTGGTGCCGCGCTAACACGTGAGCCGCGCTCTAGAGCCCCTGCAAGTGTCTGCGGTCAGACACCAATCAAAGTTACCACAAAGGAAAAATGCCCCCTAAATTAAATGTGGAGGAGCTAAGTTCAAGCCGGCGCTGAAGCTATTTAAGTGTTGAGTATTGTGTCTGATAATATTCTACTAACCCATTGCATTAGCATTTCATTTTACTTTATTTTATTACTTGTGCACTGTTGTCTTGTCTGTCTACTGTCGCGCACTAACCGCCAAGACAAATTCCTTGTATGTTTGGCATATTTTGGCTAATAAATGTTTCCTGATTCCTGATTCCTGATAACAGATTAACTGACTGTAGTCAAAAGATGAGAGAAAATTACAAATATAAGCAAACTCCACTAACGCCAAAAAGTATGTGGTGACAGAAAATGTTTAATTATGTCTCAATTGTGTATTTATTTCAAATTGTGGTGTTCTAATTGCAGTGTTTTTTGTTAACCTTCTTCAATATTTAAAAGCAGCAGCACTCGATACAAGGGATGTGTTAAGAACATCTCTTTACATAACGGCATCTTAAAAGCTATACATAAAATATCTTAAAGTATTTTATATTATGTTTACACTGGATTCTAAATCAACCTGATCACACAACGTGTTCAGGTGCAAAAACATTTTCTGTTCTAATAACACACCTGACAGGTACGCCCCAGTTGTGTTGAAGTGTCCTCCATCGGTGGAGACAGTAAATGGGATCCAACCCGTCTCGTACAGTAAAGGAGAGACACAGCAGCCGCTTCAGCGTCAATAAACCCTCCGTGTTCAATCTCATCTCTGAATCTGCAACATTGAAAACACTCTTTGAAGTTCTGCACGGCGCGACTACTTTGTCCTTAGCGTCATTTGGATGAGCTGAATAACTATTTCAAGTACAAGGTGGACTGTGACCGGGGGGGACGTGTCCTTCTACGACCCCGAAAACACAATTCACATCTACGCTCACAGAGACACTTTCATGGTTTAATATTGGAAAGTCCTGGGAACTGCTGATATCAAAATCTGTCATTAATATTTCTCTGTGATTTTCAGTGAAGGTGGTGAGGTCGAAGAGATTCGTCAGGATGTTTATTATAGTCGTTTTGTTGTTGTTTTCTGTAAATATTTTCAAATGAAAGAATGGTAAACTGAAGTAGAAATATGCAGAACTCGGTGTGTGAGGGACGATGTTCTAAATTGTGTTTTTTGGTGTAAATATCCTGTGGTTCGCCAACATCTATCGGAGGTCCATCAGGAATTACAGTGCGGTGGCTTCCACGCTCACTGGCCTCACCTCCTCCAAGACCCCTTTCATGTGGACTCCTGCAGCCGAAGAGGACTTCCAGACCCGGGAATCCAGGTTCACCTGAGCAACCCATCCTCCAAGTACCAGATCCGGATATGGGGTCGTTTTTTGATGGAGGTGGATGCCTCCGACACAGGGTTTGGAGGTGTTCTGTCCCAGCACCCGGGCTACTGACCAAAAGCTCCATCCCCATGCCCTTTTCTCAAGTCGGCTTTCCCCCGCCAAGATAAATCATGACATTGGTAACGAGAACTACTGGCATGAAGCTGGCTCTGGAGGAGCGGCGACATTGGTTGAAGAGAACCAAACTCCCGTTTGGACAAACCAGGAGTGCGTCTGCACGGCGAAGAGACTCGATTCCTGACAGGCCAGATGGTCGATATGAGACAAAGAATTATTGAATAAATGCTCTGACTTCAGTGAGTGCACCCAAACGTGTGTGAAAGAAACGGCTTTGTCTTCGTGCCAAGAAATGAGTGAAAGTCTCAGTGTTGACTGTGTTTTTAAGTGAACACTGCCTGTGACTCAAGATCGGTGCACAGGGAAATAAAACAGGTTTCTGCACCTGAAGGCCCGAAAGTCGTTTTCCTGAAGAACAGGTATGGTGAGGTGAGTTAAAACATTTGTAGAGCCATTTGAAGAGACACGCCACGTACCAGCCTGCTTCAGGACCTAAACCTTTATCCCTGTCCCCAAGAAGCCCAGAATCACAGCACCTAACGACTACAGGCCCGTCGCCCTGACCTCTCTAGTCATGAGGTCTTTTAAACGGCTAGTCCTGTCCCACCTAAAGACCCTCACCGACCCCCTGCAGTTCGCCTACAGAGTCAACAAGTCTGTAGACGATGACATGACACAACATGACCCTCCACTTCATCCTCCTGCATCTGGACTCTCCACGAACCTACGCCAGGATCCTGTTTGTCTGACTTCAGCTGCGCTTTCAACACCATCATCCCGTCTCTGCTGCAGGACAAACTCTCACAATAATCTACTACAATGGTTAGAAGATGTCCGACCTGAGAGAATGGTCATCTGTCAGAGAGCATTTATTAATGGGAATATCCCTGATGGTGTATACAGACTTCAAAGACTGGAAGTGAATCTACAATTTTGGTGGGTCCCTGCTCTTGTAGGTGTAGAGGGCAATGACAGAGCGGATACGATTGCAAATGGAGCACTAAAACTAAGAGAAGAGAAGGTATCCTTTTGGAAAGAGGGAAGCTAGATCAGTAAGAAGAGAGGCAGCATGCAATTTATGGCAGAAGAAGTGGAATAAGAACAAAAAAGGAAGACATTATCGTAACATTCAGAAATCTATAAATGTGAAGACATACGAAGGGAAGTACAGAACAGACATACAGGACTTAAATGAACGCTGTATTTAATGGCAAAAAAGGGTAAATGCACAATGTGTAATGTTACAGAATATGTGAAGCATGTTATCCTGAAGTGACGAAGAGGCAATTCAGAGAAGAACATCTTAAAACAAATAGTGAGTCAGTTGGGACAGTTTGGAGGGATTCTGGCAGGTAGGACGGTGCAGTACTAGAGGGCACAGTATTAACCTGTAGGATTTATTTCTTAGTAGATTCTTTTTTTATTGTATTGTGGTTTTGTCTGTTCATCTATAAGATCAGTGATGACATGACACCCTGATATCGCACACTCCGTTACAGTAGGTGGCGATGTGCACCTATTCAAGTTGGTGCGGCCTGCCAATCAAATTTAAAGAAGAAGAAGAGCAGCTTTCCTTGCTGGGGAGTTGGCAACACTGCTTCCAAGTTGCTGAAAGGAGCCGAGGGACACATCACAGGGTGAGGTATCTCTACTAAGCACAAGATCAGATCAATTGTCATGTTCAATTCAAAGAGACTCAGATTTGAAGATTCGAAGCAAATGGCTGAAAAAAATGCTCTTTTGGAAAGTTACCTGAGCTGCCATGTTTGTTCAGAGACGTTCAGAGATCCCGTGTCTCTGAGCTGCAGCCACAGCTTCTGTTCAAGCTGCCTGCAGCGATTCTGGGAACAAGCTGGAAACAAGAACTGTCCCATCTGTAAAAGTAAGTCCTCAACGGATGAACCAGCAGTGAACTTAACACTGAAGGGACTCGCTGACTCCTTTGCTGACAGACAGAATAATGGATCAACTCAGACGCAACCAGAGAAGGAGAAAGAGGAGGTGGTGTGTGAAGAACATCCAGAAGTCCCTTATTGGTTCTGTGAGGACGAGCAGAAAGCTGTGTGTCCTGTCTGTGAGTTCTCTCTCCACCAGAGTCACAAGGTGGTTCCTCTAGAACAAACAGTCAGGAACCTGAAGGACCAGCTGAGATCTGACTTGAAGTCTCTGCAGGACAAGAGGGACAAACACCAACAAGTGGAGAAAACATACAATGAAGTGATCCAACTCTCCAAAGAGAGCAGCTGGTGTCCACAAAGAGGAAGATCAGAGCAGAG